GAACGAACCATACACAAATTTGAACGGTCATGCGTTTTTGTTTTTATTTTAAAAAGAGAAAATCAAAACAAGGAAAGTTGTTCTATTTTCATTTATACTCCAGAAATGTAAAAAAAAAACGGTTTGTCTTTTAATTTTTCACAAACCAGGAGTTTAACATGATTGTCAAAGCAACTCAACCCTGTCCTGTAGAACCTTCCTCGGCTTCAACTTTCTCACCTCTTGGAGAAAGTCTTATTGTACTAAAAGAATCAGAAGCTGAAGGGAACATGTTTAAATTGTCAGTGCTATACAAATTATCAGCTGAGCAAAATAAAAAGACTCACCATTTTTCTTTGTTTGGGGTATAAAATGAAATGATGGGACCATAATCCCTCTTTTGTTGTTCAGTAACTGTTTTTAAATCAAGAAATGAATGACCAAAACGTACACAAATTGGTAGAATCTAGATTATATAGCCTTAGTTGTGGATAGTGAAATTTGAGTTACGGTAGCTTAAGATGTGAACGATTGCATTCTTGTTCAAGTAATAATCTTTCTATATATATATATATAATTTTAAACAGCAGTTACTGCAATTTTTTACAAGTAATCAAAACAGTTTGTTATCGTTTTGCATTGTTTCATCAAACTCTGCACACTAACAGCTTGTGAAATTGTTCCAATGGATTACAAGGCCAGAGGATTAGTTCTGCAGTAAAACAAGCACATTTTATTGTGTTGAGTGAAAACTTAAAGCCTACCTTCTTGGTCTCAATGAGATGCACTTAAAGTATATGTTTTGTAATGTAAACAAACTCAAGTATCAAAAAAAATCCTATTCAGGTTGGTTTATTCCAAGAAGTGAATCCAGACATGCCTTTTCAGGTAATGTGCTTTTTAGATGGTAGGTTTCTTTAATTAAAAAAAGAGAAGAAAGACAACACCAAACACATGAAGGAGAAACGTTAGCAGCTCGTGTATTCACATCGTAAATATATTTGTTGTTCATTTTACGTACTTACCTGCTTTCTGGACATGAAATCAACACGTTCATCTYGAAGACTGTGAGGATATTTTGTTATTTTATTTTATGTATTTGTTTATTCAAATGAGAAAAAAATATATATAAATATATTTCTTTTGCTGCATATGTTAAAGAAGTAGAAAAGGAAAGGGGGTTAAAGTGTTGAACTGATTTCAATGTGAATTTTCTTGCCTCTAGTGTATATGTGTAATTACATGTGAATTGTACTGTAAATATGAAATCTTTCACTTAATAGTTCTTAATGCATGAACAAAAACATGGCAGTTCTTAATACCAGCTAGCCTCACTGCTAAAGGCATGGACAGCTTCTCTTGCATTGGCATACTTCTGCAAACGAAACCTAAAAAAAAAAGAAAAAAAAGAAACACAAGAAAAAAGAAAGAAAAAAGTAATACAGGAAATACATGGTGTGAACAAAATAATGAAGAAATTAAAGTTCGACGGCAGTGAAGGAGTTTCGGAAGCTAATGCTGTTGAAGACGCTGCGGTTTTGCAGTGCGCTTCGGTGCACAAAAATGTGAATTTCTGTGGTTAAGCTTTACCCATTTCTCTGTCCGATC